CCGGCCGGGCCGGGGAGGCGCGGCGGGGCTCGAGCGGGAGTCGGGCTCGCAGCCCGGCCCGGATCTCATCCCTCCTGTCAGCGCGGCCCGGCCGCCGCTTCAGCGCGGTGCCCGGCCCGGGGGCGGCTGTCACCGCCCGCACCTGCTGGTGCCCGTCCGGGACCGGCCCTCGTGGCGGCTGGGCAGCGCCCCGGGGCTCCCCGGCCCCGCGGCTGCCCGGCCGGGCTGTGCCTCCCGGGGAAGCCTCTTCCAGGGCTTTGTTGTACTGCCGGGTGTCCCCGGGCAGGGCCTCGGGCAGCCGCGGTACCGCCTCGCCCCGAGGCCTCGGAGCGGTTCTGGGGCCGGCCGGAGCTGCCCCCCTCCCCGCCGCGTTTCGGTATCAGCCGGGCGCTCCCGGCAGGAAAGGGGAAGCGGGACCGAGCTGCAGGAGGTGGTCCCGGCTGCGGGCTGTGCCCGGGGGATTTGTGCCCTTCCTCCCCCACGAGCCCTTCGGGGCTCGGTGCCACCGTTCTGTGTGTGTGTGGAGCTGGTGCCCGGTGCTCCGAGCCGGTCCCCGCCAGGTCCTGCTGCTGGAGGTAGCAGGGATGACCCCGGGGAGCAGCCGGAGTAATCCCATCACCACCGTGCCTGGGGAAAAGCTGCGCCTCCTTCGCACCCGCCCCGAGCCGAGTGCTGGGATGGAGCTGGGAGCGAGACAAGATTTGAGCGTTTCGTGCACAGTGAGATGTTTAAAAATAACCCCGGTGACGGCTGGCTCCTGCCGCGCGGGTTTAATCCGCAAGCTCTTTGAAGCTCCCGTGTAAAAACTGTGGCAGCACTTTGGAGTCTGGATGACTGAAGGTAGAGCTGGCAAATCCGAACAGGCAGCCTGAGTTTGGGATGCACTGAGCAGCTTGGCTCCCTTGGGCCTCGGATGGTTTAGGTTCAGCAGCTGAACATGAAACTATTTCCATGAGGAACGTCGGGATACCCAGCTTCGGGGTCCCCGGCTTTGATTTTTTGGCTGAGTTTCTGTTTACTGTTGTTGTTTATAGTAAACAGCGTGCACTGAGTGGCTGGGAACAGCCATGTGGTCGCTGCAGTTCGCAGCCAGTAATATTGGGGGAAAATGTTCTCCCACCTCGGTTCAACGCCTGAGCGCCGGCTGCGGGCTGGGCCTCCTCCTGTCGCCTTCCTCTCTTACTCTCAGCTTCTGCTGGCCAGACTGTGCTGTCCATATGTGTTTGCTAGGAATATTGGGAGCATGGGATGGTGGTGTCATTCCTTGTGCTTCATCTCAGGCGCTGGTGTGTGGCTTGGTGTTAATATGGGGAGCAAAACTCGGCTCATGGGAGTCTCAGCTTGGGACGAGCTGCCGTGGTATGCAGCCCTGCATGTGCTGGTGGGTAGTTCAGGATCTGCCCAGTAGATGGTATGAAAATGCAGATGGAAATCAGGGAGTCCCTTGCAATGGGCACGAGGGAAATGCAGGTATTTCTGTGCTATTTAAAGTATTTATTTAATGAAAAGTTTGTGTGTTCTGTTTGTGAAAGATATGCTGAGTCTTGCTCCTCCTGATTTGGTATTTACATCTTAGCAAGCAACAATTCTGCATCTTGATAATCTGCTTTTCTTGGGGCACTTCTGTGGAAACCTGATGAATTTTGCAGGACAATATGGATGTCTACAAGTAAAAGGTTCCGTTAAGGTATTAAATGATGATCTTATTCATGAAGTAGCTGTGCTTCAGTCTAGACGGGAATGCTGTGGGAGTTGTGTCCCTGCCCTATGTCTAATTTAAAGGAATGTCTGAAACTTTGTTTCATAGTCTCAGACATCAGGTACCTCCAGATATGTTCTGGTTGTTTCCCAACCCTGGCTAAGGTCAGGTAGATTTCTAAACCCTTCCTGAGTAATAGTTCTTCTGTTAAGCTCTTCATGCTGGCAATTCCATATCCTCTGCAGGTGATGTATGCCAACACTTAGGCCTCCTCATCATTAGAGAGATTTTTCAGGGTGTTTAATCTAAATCTTTGTCTTGCACTTTAAACCTGTTATTTTTCTGATGTCCAGAGCTCATGGAGAGCACCCTACTCGCCACATCACTCCACTTCCTACATGTCTGCAGCTCGGTTAGAAGCATTTGAAGACTTTTTTTCCCTCTCCCTAAGCTGAGCAAGATAGTTTCTCCAATCTCCTCATGTGGACATGTCAGCCTGGCTGACCTCTGTCTCTGACTTGGGTTCTGCTCCCATTCACACTTCACCTAAAGCGCTATGGTCAGTCAGAACAGGACTCTGCAGAGCAGTTGTAATAAGCTTGGCCCAAATGACCCTGTTTTGGGTATGTCTCAGCACTGATACGTGACAAGGAATGCAGATCACATGTTTGCCTGTTTGTGCTTTTAACTGTGTGTTTGTGACAGGACTTGGCGTGCTCAGTGAGCTCCTGTTTGCAAATCTGGAGTAGCGTGCTAGCAACGTGAGCTTGGAGCTGTGCTCAGTTAAACCTTGTTGTGTTTGGGGCTCTTGTTTGAGCTGTAATGTTTGCATCTACCACCCCGTCTTTTCTCCTTTTCTTTTCTGTGCCTGCTATTGCAATTCAGTTTTTGCAATGAGACAAAAAGATTTTGAGCCGTTTATGCATCCATTAATGTTTGAGAAGTTTCCTGACAAGGAGGGATCCCTGAGAAGTGAGGGAAGATGCATTGAGGACAGAGCAGCAACTCTGGCTGCCAGCTTCTCTTGTAAGGTGGTTAATCTCCTGCTTATGTGTAATTCAGAGATATGCCAAGGTAAAAATTACCTCCATAACTGAACTCTCAGAGTAGCAGAACTGTAACTCTGACCCCTCCTTCACCCCAGCACTACATCCGGGTGTAGCACCTGCAGTCCAAGCTGGGACATAAATGCTTCATCCCACTTTATTTGCAGGATAGCACAGCCTAATCCTAAAGGAAATGCTTTTTCTGGCTTTAATACAGTTGTAAAAAATTCCTTTCTTACCCAGCTTAAGTAGCTACCAGTGGAAGCTGTTATAAAACATTTGCACTATGTTTAACTGATAGTGCAAGTCTGAGAGCAGCAGGAAGCACAAAAGATCTTCCCCGTCTATCAACACGTCTCACTGGGCTTGGAGTGAACAAATCCAGTGACCTGAACTAGTGGTGTCAGGGTGGTGTCTGATGGGGACACCTGAGCACTGGACATCAGCACCTCCTCCTCTTCGCAAAGCTGTGCTTTGTCCTGGGTGGTAATCTCCCTTAGCAGGACATTTCAGAGATGGTTTCAATTGTGAGCTGAAGGAGAGATCAGTACAGGGACATCACTGCAGCCTGGCTGCTGCTGAAAACACTTAATTCCCAGAGATCTCTATTTTCATTCAATTCCCTTAAAAAACAGAGTAATACTTAGTTCTTTTACTGAGATTTCTTACACACACCACCTCTAGCAGATTTAGGCACTGATACACAGTTTGCAACCTGCATGGTTCACTCAGGCACCTACCAAATGTTTCTGCCTCTCTAGCTGGGATTTAAGCAGAATTTGTGTGTGCCTCTGCTCTTACTGGACTGAATCTCACTCTTTTATGCAGACTCATCCTGAGCAAAAAATCAAGAATTTGGCTGAGAACTGAAGGAAAAGATGAACGTCTCTTTTGCTGCCTCTGCTGTTTGCGTGGCAGCCTCGTCCAACAGGCCAGATGGGCAGGTGATGTCTGGGGAATCTAAAGCACTTGGCTTCCTGAGAGCTGACTTGATCAGCAGAGGGAAGTGACCCCTGCAGCTCCACAGCCTGGTTGGTAATATGTCACTGGAGATGAGGAAACAGAGCAGAGTCAGTGTGGTCATTGCCAACACGAGGGAGCTGACGTGGGAATTCAGGCAGGACTGTTTTTCCCTGGCACAAGCTTGTTTTTCTGCTGCTCTCCATTTCTTGCTCAGAAGTTTTTTTGTTTGTATTATAAATTGAATGGCGTTATCACCAGTCGGAAAAGAAACTCCTGCTGGAGGTGTCTTCTCCCAGCCAATGTGCTCAGGGTTACCCAGCTCCAATTAGCTTGTACATTTTCCAGACTGCCACAGTGGGAACAGCCCAGAAACCTCTCGGGTTTGTTTTCAACAACGGAAACTGCACGAGTAGATACCAGTGGAAATTTGCAAAGTTCAGTCTTTGCCCATTGAATTTCCTGCAATTCCTCCCCTCTCCTGGCCCTTCCAGGTTTCACTGAACGCTGGTCTGGGTCCTTTCTCCTAGATATCGTGGCAAGGGAACAAGTTTGGTTCACCCATTTCTGGAGTGACATCTGCTGTGGTTTGCTTGGGGGTGGAGGGAAGTAGTTGCACCCTTCTGATTCCTCAGGGTGCTGCTGATGTTTGACTACAGGAAAAGGTCCTGCCAGGAAAAATGGATTTTGTGCCTGACAGAAGCTGGGGGACACTTACAATGTTTGAGTTCAGTGTTGGCAGAAGCTGCACAGGGTGAAGCCCATCTGTGCTCCACTGAATGAGCCACGGTCCCATTGGCTGCTGCTTCCTGTCACCTCGTGCTGGAACACCTGCTGCCATCGCCTGACCAGCTTCCATCCTCTCTGCCCTCCCCTGTGCCACTGCTGCAGGGTGTCCCTGCTCCCGGCCTCCCTCCCTGCCCCATTTGGAGCAGCCCCTGCCTCCTCCCCCCGTGCTGAGCCCTCAGCAGTGGGACGCATGTCCAGCTGTGTCTGCGGTGAGCGGGAGGGCAGCCTGTGTTCCCTGTTCCCCCTCGCTCCCTCCTGGCTGTGGGAGCTTCCCTGGGCCACTGCCAGGGCCTGCCTGTCCTCCCCGTGTCCCTGCAGCTGTGGGGAGGCCAGGCCAGGGGCCAGGCTGGGCCGCACACACCGTGGGGGACACGGATGAGCAGCAGCTTTAGGATGGCTCATTGTCATTGACAACCTTACGTGTGTATATCC